CTCTTAGGCTCGTCTGATGAACACACTCGTGAAGCCAAGTTGAGCCCAGAACATTTTTGAGGATTGAGTTCAATATGAATTTTTTGAGCTCGAACCGGCGTGAGACAGGCTGCACTTATGAGAGCTTAAGAGAACTTCGCATATAGCTTTTTTCTAGCATTTTCTTTACGTTTCCTTTTTTAATTTTTTGACTTTTAGCTTGGCTTTCATTTAAAATCGATCTGTTTCATTTCTTCTGAGAGCCTTTTTAGCTTAATGTGTAGTTTACAAATAGTATGTAAAGCCTAAAACAGACTAGGCCGCAAATTGTGCTAGGTTTGTGCCGAGCAAATGTCCTCAATATTTCCAAGAAATAATACGTATAGCTGACAGAAATGTATATGGGATGTCCCTAAAAGGGATGACGCTGACAAAACTCTGCTGTTGGGCATTATAATTGTAATTATCTCAAGTTCAGATAAAATTTCAACAATTCTATGAATTGCTTGAATTTGCAGCTAGATTACTTGCAAATGCAGCGACATTGTCCTAACTCTGTGCCCGTGCTCAAGTTGTGCTCTGTCTTCTAATTGTGTTGGCTCGTTTTAAGGCGCAACAATTTGTCTAGCCCAACGGCTGTGGGAGAAGCTGTGGAAATGGCAGCGACTGTAGCTGAATTCCATAAATGGAATTCATGAAGATGTGAAGCTTAAATTGCCAGAGCTCGGTTTTGGCATCAGCCGAAGGGCAAAAGATACAAATTCACAAAACTGACAGAAACTGAATCAGCAAAATTTAATCACCAGCCCCAGTCTCCAACGGTGTGTGTGTGTGTGTGTGTGTGCTTTACTTGGAATTACTTAAAAAAAAAAAGAAGAAGAGAATAAGGAAATAAAGTCTGAAAATAAAAAACATGAAGCGTAAAGAGCCTTCCAACTCTTTGTAGATGAGCAGGCGAATTGTCAACTGCTTTTCGCTGGAAGCCCGGAAAAGGTGTATCAGAAACTTTTGCCAGTGTTTCCCTCCACCTAACCCAAAAAAAAAAAATATATATATAAGCTGAATCCCGAGATAAAGCCATAAGTTACGTAGTTCAACATAAATTCTCCACAGGGCACAGCATTTCATGTGAACGAACTTTTACTTTTAGCAAACATGGCTGTGGTTGGAGAGGGACTTCGACTGGAGATGCATCACACTTGGCTGCAGGTAATATGTAAGCTACATCATTAATCTTGGGCCTGCATCAGAAGACAAACCTAACCTCAAAGCAGAACATAACCTCAAGCCCGAACCTAACCTAAAACTTGTGCTCGTTCTGTCTGCTGAGTCAGTTGTGTAGGCAGGCTGTCTGCTTGTTGGGTTATTAATGGGTTAAGCTAATTATTGACACTGATATCTGAGTGCCCCTTTAGCAGGCACCCCTCGCCACTCGCCTCTCTCCATCAACCCGCCCGGCAACCATCACACGAGAAAGTCCCAACAACAATAACAATCAATTTAAAATTCTTTCCAATACATTTGCTGCTCAAATTATGCATGACAAATGTTTAAAAGTTCATGACTAAAATGCAAACAAAGAGCTGTTGCTAGGGGCAGCGTCACAAGGGGGGCCGGTGTGGAGAGGGGCGTCTGCAGGATTTGATGCGAGCGAGCGAATGTAGCATGTGAAAAATTGCCATAAAATTATGAAAATGTGCGCTAAACTATGTAGCCATACAGAGAGCATGGCCGGCGAAAGAAGGCGCGGCACAGGGGCCGGGGCGTGTTGCCAGCCAGAAGGGCATAAGCCAGAACTAAGGCTTGAAGCAGCCAAACTGGCCAAAAGTTTTGCGTATGTTTTGTGAGCGCAGGCGATGATGACGAGCACGGTCAGCAGGAGGCGCACAGAGGCTTGGATGGAAAAAAGTAACTATAGAGGGGTTTCATTGCAGAAAAAAGAAGAGAGTCGGACAACCTACAGCTAGTTAACTAGCAGCATGCTTTAAGGGCAAGTGGTTGCATAGTTGAACAAGATCTGTAGCGGCCCTGCCCCCCTTTGGCGCGCCCATGTCGTGAGCAAACGGTGTAACTGCAACGCAGCTAATTTAGTCAAGGTAACTCTCATCACTCTGAAGGGTACAAACAGCAAAGCGGCGTAAAAAAAGCGACAATGCAACAAAATTGAGCTCAACTCAAGTTAAAGGGGGGGCGCTTAGTGAGGGGGGGGAGGGGGGCAGGTGGTGCAAAGGGCAGCAAAGGCAAAGGCAGCGTTGATAATGACGCCAACGCTCGGTTCTGAGAGCTCAGCAAGCATCATGTGAATGTGATGGAAGCGAGTCCAGCAATTGAGTTGGAAGAGGCGGACACGAAGGGAGGTGAAGGCGGGCGAAGATGCTTGATCATGAACAGCGGGAAGTTGGGAATTATACAGGGGGCGAGCCGGAGAGAGAGAGAGAGAGAGAGAGAGAGAGAGAGAGAGATGGTAACTGGCATGAGGAATGGAGCAGTGAGGCGGTTTATTTGGTTAAATGCAGAAAATTGGCAAAACGCAGAGACATGGCCAAAACTGAGGCAAACCGGACAAAGGGGACAGAACAGAGGAGTGGTAGGGGGGAGGCAAATCTGTGGATGCATTTTTTTTCTTCATTTTTGGTTGGCCTCTTGTCAGAGTTGATGAGCTGCAGCTGATAGTTTGCAGCTTAATGGTGGGAAAAATGCAACAAAAAAGTGGAAAAGGAAACAGGAAAACGGCAGTAGAAGAAGAAGCACCAGCAGAAGGTACGAAACAACTGACTGGAATGGGGCGTGGCGCGGTGGGCGTGGGAGCTAACCAATTGGAGTGTGGGAAATTTAATGAGTGGGAACAATACCAGATACTAAATGCCAGGTAAAGTGGCAGCTAGTGAAAGCCGAGGCGTAAACAATTGAAAGTGCGCGACTAGACAGATACCCTGTGAGAGCAATGCCGCCCACAGAGTTTGCCAAAAAAATATGCCATGAAACTGGATTTATAAATACGAATATCAGAATACCAGAGTACCCTGTAAGGGACCAGAAGGAAAAACACACTCGAGCAGCAGGCTTGATCAACTTGCCATTTACTAAAGAAATAAATCAATCTGTGGGTATATTAAACATGGCAGCTACCCTGTAACCTCTTGCCAGTCAGTAAACTTTTGGAATGCAAATGATACACCGTTTTTACAAAGGTTGCCTTTGGTTAAAAAGGAAATAAGGTACACTCGACTAACAGATACTCTAGAATGCACATGTACTAAACACTTCTTTACTCAAGATAAACTTTTAAGCTAAGCCTGGCATTCTTGTCAAATAGTTGTAATATATTAATAGCACATTTGAGCATGCTCAACTTGCAAGCACTCTGTAAAATTCAAGCAGACATGTACAAATAACATATAGATATACCTTTGTGCCCCATGCAACCCACTTCTCAGTCATTAAATAGATAAAGGGTGTACATGAATAGACAAAGAAAGACAAACCTACTGCCAGAGGATTAGGCTTGGGCAAAGTTGAATACAATTAAAAGCGACTACGACTGCAAGGGAAAATGGACAATTCGGGACAGAGATTGAAAGATTTGTCAGGCTGTTGGCAAGAATAGTCGGCATATTCGTATCTGCATATATGTACGTATATAACCAAATGAAAACCAATGAAAAACAATAGAAACTCCCGGGCTGGGCGCACTCAACAATTGCCCAGACAGAATCAGGAATTCAGAAATGTGAAATAGAAACGAATTGATTAAACGACTACAATTCTAAAAAAAAAAAAATAAAAATAAAAACAAGAAGCTTAGATGCAACACCAAAGGGCCGGTGAGAGGGTTAGAAAAACAGTCAGGCACCGACAATTGACCTGTGCTCCATGCACTTCGCATTACCAATTACAAGCACAGTCCCAGGCCACAGGCCTTCGAACCAGTGGACCTATGAAATGCAAATGGTAAGTAAGACCATTGGCAACAAATGCGGAACGTCAACGACCACGACAATTGAGGCCGCAATCAGGAAAACGTTGCAAACAGTGCGGCTCGGAGGGCGGGCTGTCAGTAAAAAGGAACTTGAAAACAAAATCGAACTAGGTAGCGCCCCGCACTCATTGTTATGCAATTGCAGTGGCAGAAAGAATGGGTGGGCGGGGTTAGGTTGAGTCAATTAAAAATGCAGCCATTTCTCGATGTGGGCCCCCATATAGTCCAGTCTAACGTCTAAACGTCTGGATTAGGGCCAAAGGCGTTACAAACAGCAAGTGCTCGTATCATTGACCTTTTGGCACACGCCATTGCCCGCTCGCTCCCTCTCTGGCGCTCCGCTCTCTGCTGTGCAAGTAAGACATAATCCAATTAGCAATTAGTTGTGTATGCCAGGCGTCGTCGTCAGGTTACCTGTGCGCAAGAGACCCTCCTTAGATGGTTCAATAGATAGCTGGCCCTGTACAGGTAGAAATAGTAGCAGCAGTTGCAGAACCCGAACCAGAGCCAGACACAGACACAGACACAGAACCCAGAACCAGACCCAAACCCGAAGCCGAACCCAAGCCCAGTTGCAGGCTAGGTTTGGGCAGTGCCTAATGCATTACGCATGCCGACTAAATAACTCAATTTAGTATGCCAGGGGCGCACTTGTATGGCATGCGGCACGTCTGTCAGCGCTTCCTGTTCATCAGCCTGGACTAGTCGCAATCAAAGAAAAAAGAAAAACATTCTGAAACACACACACACACACACACAAACAACAATATGCCAGTCGAGGGTTTATTTATTATATATGTATCTGAAGGCCCATCGTTTGTTATGATAAATATTCCTTGAAGCTGTTTATCATATTTCTTTAAGCACTTAAGTATAGTAGAAATGTATTACAATACTTGTACCTTGCACAAGTATGCATATTAAGCACATGAGTTAACACATACCAAATTTTTCAACACTAGCTCCTATGGTGTGCGAGATCGACAAGCTCACCTGTCTAATATTTACAGGGTATGCATACTAGACACACTCGTAAACAGCTACGGCTGAACACTCATTTTTATTCTTAAGTTGTCAGATTATAAATTTGTAGAAAAATCAGTAACCAAAACAAAACATTTTCGTTTTTCCGACAGATAGAAGTGTGTTAACCAATGGAACTAGAGACCTAAAGCCAGATATTACAAAATAATAAAAACACCACTTAAAAAGCGTTACAAATTTAAGTAATTTTGTGGATTTACGACATTCGGTCATATTTTCTTTCTCAAATTATCATATTTTGGGTAAGTCGTATACAGTATACCCTGTAATACATGCATAGATATGCTGTATATGTAGATGTATAGCCATATATATAGATTTTAATATAGTGAACATATAGACATAGCTATATAGATATAGTGCAAGAGGCACACCTCATAAAGGTTTAGTTTATAGGGTATATCATTATTAAGGAAGATCTTCATGTTAAATGGTTAATATCCCAAAAAATTGTTCATATGATATGACCTCACAGATATATCATATAGGCCAAATAATCAAGGGTATATGTTCTATACGCTTTCTAAACAATTTCAGAAATTTATCATAAAAGTATAATGGCTTAGATTAGGGAACACACTGATGCTGGGTTCCTTAGTTTTATGTGGTTAATACCCCAAAAATCTATTTATTGGACACATTCTTATAGATAACACATGTACTATAAGTACCCATGAGCCATTATATCGTATATGATTCAGTCTATAAAGAACACGGTAATGTTATATGGTTAACCTTTTCTTAAGACATGTTTCTATAGATATATCGGGAATTACAAATACTCAAGGGGCATCTCCTCCATTTATTGTACATATACAATAGCGTATTTATGCTGTGTTTTATGGTGCAGAAGGCACACTTGAATGCGAGGCTTAAGATCAATAACGCATATGCCATATCATTTATTATAATTTCTCAAGAAATTCCTCCGTGGATTGGGTTTCTCTCTTGGTCGGAACTGAAATTGTATTTAAAATTCATTCATCATACTTAAAAAACGCACAACAAAAAATGAAAAAATAAGTTGGGGTAGAAAAAAACAGACAGCTGAGCATGGAGCTTGAGGTGGGGGCGCGAGTAAAGGGATAGGGGCGGGTAGGGGCAACAATGGAGCAGCAAAACAATCCTTCATTTGTATTTACAATGCATTTTTTGTAGCCAACACCCCCCCTCCCTCCCCCACGCAGTCCATCTCTCTCAACCCACAACGCCCTGCTCCCGTAGTTGTTGTTGTTGTTGTTTTTTCGCGCAATAATTTTCTGTTGTTATTTTTTTAATTCTTTTTTGTTGTTTTTTACTTTTTTTGTTTTTTTAAGCTGGTTTTGGGTTTTGCTACTTATTGTTTGTGTTTTTGTAATTCCGCTGGCATAATGCGGGTATTCAGTTTTCCCCTACCCAATCCAATCCAATCCAACCCAACCCACCACACCCGACCCCCCTTCGCTTGCATTGCCACTGAGAAAAAGTTGTTTAATGGCATCCCAAGAAGCTCGAAATGTAGCTGGAGCTGGCGGGCAGGCAGAAAGGGGCGCTTCAGTAGAGACACTTGAAACTGACACAAACATTGGCATAATTTTCCTTTTTTTTTTATGTATTTTTCTCTCAACTCATTTTGTTGCTTTTGTGAGCTCATTTTCATTTCGCCGACTCGCGTTTCGCATATTTTGGATACAGATTCAAATCCACTTGTAATTATGCCACATGGCAGCGAGTGTGAGACACATTTTGTGTTGCACTTGAGCTTGAAAATGATGAGGACCGCAGCTCGTTTTGTTGCAAGTTTTGATTATAATTAATCGAAAGCAACAGGGCAAATTTGTGTTTTTTTCATCTTGAGCATAATTGCCTGACGCCCCACGTTGGGCGCCGCACAGAGCACTGGAGGAAAGTTTGGCTGCGGTCCGGGCGTAGTTCATAATATCTACAATATATGAATGCTGTCCCAGCTACTTACTCATAATTAGCCCCCCCAGCATGGCTGTCGAGCGGGCTTTTTTGGGCGCTCGACAGACACACACAGAGAGAGAAAGAGATAGAGATAGAGAGAGAGACAAAGACAGAGGCTGACGCAGAGGCAGAGGCAGGCGCGCATCGGGCAGGGCGCGGGTGACCGCCGCAGCTCATTTGCACTTAATTTATGGGTCTGCATAAAAAGATGGCTGGAGCTGGAGCTGGAGCTCGCGGTGGCAAAGGGCGGGGGGACGGGAGCATGCAACAATGGTTGCTAATTATGCGCAAGTTTTTGGATCAACTTCAACTAATTGTCTGTCAGTGTGGCACAAGGCGACTCCCGCGCCGCCCAAAAATACAGATGGAAGTCAAGTCAAGTGCAGAGGCAGGCCAAAGTTATGCAAATAATATGTACGCATACAAATGTATATATGCATATACATATATATATTTATAAATACTCACAGTAGATACTCGAGTAGAAGTCCATCTATGCATTGCAGATTGCGCACATTATGCAGCTCATTATAATCATTATTTGGTTGTGAGACAAGTCCCGAGCTAATCATAATTTTCCGACGTGTAAGTCCTTCGACTAAAGTATTTTCTACTTTTTTTTGGGACTAGATTTGTGCAAGCAAGCCCGCACGTCTCTCTGAATTAAACTCTGGAAGCTGGGCGCGTGTGGAAGAAACGCGTGATTGATGGTGATTGATTGCCATGGCACAAGGTTTTTTGTTGAAACGTTCGCTCGCAAGTGAAGTTTTTGATTTTATCAAAGCCGAACTTATTTGAACCTGGTAGCCAAATTTTTGATTTATCATGAGTCGAATCGTAAGACGGAGTAGTTGGCTAAGGAACAGTCGAGTCTGAAGCTGAACTAAAGCATTTTTTTTATACACTTGTAGAGGGTATCATAAATTTGTCATGACATCTCCGTTCTCATAAAGTAGCTATATTCTAGATAATGGATCAAAGAGTAGGTTCTTGTGTGAAGTGAAATATCTAGACCAGCCTCAAGAGGAATACATAAGCTTTAGATAACTTTAAACAACTTGTCGATACATACTTGATAATAAGCAACTGACTTATTGCGATCTCTGTTTGTGTACGAAAAGTTTACAACAATTTGTTAGGTTCATTATTAACCTGATTTGGCCTATTTGCCGAAGTTCATCGAGAGCATTGTTTTGCTTGTTGTGCGAACTAAATACCTAACGGACATATTGCACTTTAAGACAAATTATTGTTGGTGTTGTTATTGTTGTTGTTGTTGTGTTTTATGTTCTTGTTGGTTTTAATAAAAGTAAATGCGCGACTTGAAACGCAGCGAGTTGCCATGGCGCAAACAAAAGCGGCCCAAAAAACCAGCCAACGCCAACAAAAGACAATTGTTGAAGCTAGGGGCACGGAATGGGTGGGGAAGGGGGGGGGGAGATCTAGGCACGAACATGGACAACTGCTCCATAAAAATGCCCCTTACTGGATTAAAATTAAAGCAAGACCGCGAGGGCGAGAGGGAGGGAGAGCCAAGCCGCTGCACAGCGCTAAATGGGGGCATAGAAAATGCTGTAGGCGATTGTGAGGGAGGGTAAGGGGTTGTCTGGCGGGGGCTGGGTTTGAGTGTAGGCATGCCACATAAAAGACGTGGCTACAATTCTTTTTCTACGCACGGCCAGACTGGCAACATAATTGGAATTTCCTTTTTCCTGCCTTGCCTACAGTACGCTCAAGTGCCACAAAAGACCAGGCTCAAGAGTTGCCTCCGCTTGTTGCTGACCATCAGCTGCCCCAACAACGACAACAACAACAATGCAACAATGGTTGCAACAAAAGCAACAACAACAACAACATCGGACTTCATCAAGACTGCGACTCGTCGTCAAGAGTTGCCTCAAAAGCGTTTCCCAAGAAATTCAAACATGTCGCTGGATTTTTGAATTTGGGCGCTTGCGTGGCAAAGCGATTTATATGACAGTTATTCGGCTGCTTCTTCTTGCTCATTTCTGTTGTATCTGTGCTTCGTTAAGCTCAAGGGTTAAGGCGAATGACGCCCCCCTGTACCGACCCACCACAGCTAAAATAACAAATTAAGACAAGAACAAAGATCATTTTCATATACTGTATACATATAGTTGTTCAGCATTTGATCGTGTGTCTATTTCGAAATGCAATTTGTGAGGTTAGCTACAAGTTATTTTGATTACTTCCAAGCGAGGGTCACAAAAATGTTCTTTGTTTTTGTTTTTTCTGCTTCTACTCAAACCCAAGAATATCAATGCCAAATCCAATTCTCAAAGGTTATATATATTTTAAATATTTTGTTTCTTTACAAATCTAAAGCATTCTATGTTTGTTTTTCTAAAAGTAGCTTCAAACGTAAGACTTGAACACCAAAGTCTGTCTGTTCTGTAGTGCGTCCCTCTATCCGTCTGTATGAACGCAAGGATCTCAGACCCTACAAGAGCTGGAGTCGATAACTTTTCCCGTTGCTAAGCAATCGATAAATATCGATGGCGAAACCCTGCTCGTTTTTCAGCAAATCTCTTAGGTTTTAAGAGCTAGAATCGCCAAATTAGACATCTAGCTTCTAGAATACACAGATCGAGTAACTTTCGTTTTCTAGCTAGATATAGAAGTTGAATATTCATTATTATCCTTTTATCCTTGTTTCTACTTAATGCCAATTGTTTACCTCAAGCGCTTTTAAATCGGCCTTTGTCTGATGTATTGCAACTTTGCTGGCATAATTTCTGCCTTTTCCAGCACTGTTCTCAGGCTCCAGCGAAAGCTGTTGGGCAATTAAGTGGGCTAGTTCCCAGTCGCGGCTAATTAGAACGCGTCACACTCGTCAGCTCGGACTTTTTTTTGAGCAGACTTTGTGTCATCAGTCGAAAGCCGCACGGACAGGGCCAGCGGGTGGGTGGGGGGTACAGCCATAAAAAATAAAATATGAAACACACCCGTTTAATGCAACGAGCGCAGGTTAATGCGCGCTCGCTTGCAACATCAATTGAGGGGCATGCGGCACGATGACGAGTTCTTTTCATGTCGTTTCAACAAAATCCGCTCACAAAAAAAAAAAAAATTAAAGAGAAGTGAAAAAGAAGTTGCCCAGAGATACAGTTAAGCAGCTGAAAAAATGTTGTACATGTTCACAAAAAAGTTGCGTCAATTAATTTCATTTAGTTTTTATTTATTTTTTTTTTTTTTTGTATTTTTGCCTTTTTTGTGGGGGGGGGGGGGTCATTGTGCGTTTGTCATGACATGTGTAACGCACTGAGTGAGAGGGTCCAAACAAGTAGAAATGGTCTAATCGGGATGCCCGACTAGGGTATACCCTGAACCTTCTGCTGGAGGGATGGCTGCAGTTTACGACTAGCTCCAAAAATAAGATTTCGATATTGATTTCTTATCGATTGCCTGGAAACGAAAGAATTTATCGATTATCGGCAACAAATTCGTTTAATTCTCTAGCTCTTATAGTTATTTTTAAATGCGATGTGTTTTATTATTTTGTGCAAAAGTTTGTATGACAAGCAGCAGGCATGGCAACTATTTTCAGTCAGCTGCAATTGCAGAATCGATCTAATACACCTTTTTTGAAAGTCTACTTATATTCAATTCAAACAGGGCTGGAATAATTCCCTTTTATAGAGCTTAAAGAAACCATATTTTCTTCTTAAATACTAATAAGAACTTAGCTCCATATGTTTATTTTTGCCCCAACAATTGAACACAATACAGTTCGGGGTCAGCTAACTTGATAGTGCTTTAATTAAAACTGCCTTTTAGGGTACGTTTAAATTCGTCAAGCAGCAATTAGCTTCTGTTTTATTTGTTTTTTGTTAATGTTGTTGTTCAGAATTCGGTCTGGTCAGATCCGGTATAAAATACCGGTATGGGTCTGCAGTAGAGAAAGGTTAGACAAAGGCTGATGACGATTAGAAAAGAAAGAGAGAGAGAGAGAGAGCGAGAGAATTTTAGAAGAGCAAAGAGTGGAGTAGAGAAAGAAAAAGTGGTTCGACAAATGAAGCGGATGTGGTAATTGGTCGCCGTTTTCTTTTAGCTGTGGGATACTTAACTGGGCCGGGGATTACAGAGTCCAAACTCTATTCTATTCTAATGCTAAGCAAATTCTACAAAAAAAAAAAAACACAAACACAAATCCACAGATCTTAAGCAGAGCAGAGCAGAGCGGAGAGCAGCAACCATGGGCAATGTGCACACGCTAGAGGAGGGCAAGGTCCATGGGCATGGTCATGGACGTGGGCAGGGACAGGGGCGGGGTCAGGGCAAGGGCTATGAGAAGGAGAAGCTTTATCGATTCTTTGGCATACGCATGGCCAACGAGGGCGATGGCTATAGCATAACCGGGCAGCGGCGTGCGGAAATACAGATGAAACAGGAGGAGAATCTGGAGACAGCAGGCCCAGGAGGGACGCGTTCCGCCGCTGCGGTTGCCGTCGGCGGTCTGGCAGTGCCGGCGACAGCGTTGCCAGAGCGTTTAGGGAATCCAGGCACTGTGGCGGAATTGCATCGTCGATGCCACGATATGCTGCCGCAAACATTTGACGGCTTCCGACTGAACGTTAGCCGCGCCCTCGGCAGCAATGTGACCGTCGGGCATTCCCTGCAGGTGGGCAACCGGCCGCAAACCGCCGACTGTCAGTTCAATGCCAGCTATATGGGCCAGCGCCAGCACGAGCTAACTGGCGAGGCATACCCAATGATCATTGGCGAGGTGGATGCCCACGGCAATGTGACCGGCACACTGATGCACTTCATCACGCCACGATGCCGTGGCAAACTGACGACCACCATACTCGACTCGGAGGTGCAGAGTTCGCGCCTCTTTCTAGACTACTTTGGCAACAATTACAGCTGCACCTGTGTCCTGAGCAACATCGATCTGGCGCAGCGTATGGGCGTCTTTGTGGCATCCTATCTGCAACAGGTCACACCTGAGCTGGCGCTGGGAGTCGACTATATCTATCAGCGCGAGGACATTGTGCCCGGCGGCCAGGCGGCACTCGTCTCGGCGGTGGCACGCTACCAGCAGGAAAATCGACAATGGTCCGCCATGCTCAGCCTGCACGCCCTGGAGCTCTGCTATACGCAGTTCTATGGCCAGAGTCTGGGCGCCAGTGTCCAGCTGCAGGCGAATATCTTGAAGCGCCAGGCAATATCGCGGCTGTGCTATCATTGCCATATGCCCAGGGTTGGGTTCAGTTTTCGCGGCGGCATCGACACACGCGGCGTCATCAGCGCCGTCTGCGAGAAGCGACTCGAGCCGCTGCCCATTCTGCTGCAGCTCAGCGGCAAACTGAATCATTTGACCAGTCGCTTTCGCTTCGGCCTGGGCCTGACACTGGGCTAAACATGGATGCGACATGGTTTGGTGCGTATGTCCTCCACTTCTCGCCCTCTCTATCACCTGCTGACTCCCTCTCACTCTCCCTGCCTCTTTGTAGACCCTCAATTTCAGCCACTTGACGAACAAGCAACAGCTTGATCAGCTTTTGCCTTGGAATCTGCCACAGGGCGTGCAACGAATTGTTGAATGCCCTTTGCTGTGCCACAGTCGTAAATGCTTGTTTAAATTAATCAAATTCGAAGGAGGGGCTGGCGCCGTTTTGGTGTGCGTTTTGGTTCACGCCCAGCACTGCAGTGGGCCCAAGAAACAGCTCGAAGTAATAATAAAAACAGATAAAAATATATTTAAAAGAAGTTGAAATTCAAATGAAAAAGATGCCCAAATTCAAATTAGATACATTTTTGAAAAGCTCTTCTCAAATTCAGCGGTTTTATACAACTTTTCAAAAGTACAAAAACGCAACAGTAAGATACACGAAAATTCAGAAATTATGTTAATTTAATAAACCGAAATTTATTTAAACAAAAGTAATTGCTGCTGACGATTTTCTCATTTTTCTTTTCAGAGTTTGTGCGCCTGACAGAGCTTATGAGAACCAAGTTTCGTCTAGATTCATAGGAAATACATTTCATTTCGATCACTCGTTTGTCTGTCAAACTAAGCTATAGCGAGTCAGCTGTCGACACGGATCAGGAACATATATATTATATATAGAATCCAACAAATTTGTCTCTAAAAGTGCGCTACTGCATTTTATTCAAGTTTTTCTTGGAGTTTGTTATTTTTTAAACCAAACAAAAGTCTTCTTCGTACGAATTGTAGCGAGTAGCTGCCAACGAGTAAATTTTGCTCGTCGGAATATTTTGAGCTTCAAAGCTTGATTTGAACATTTGTACTTGTTTTTCCATCAAAATATCGCATATTCAGCGAGATAATGGCACTTATTGCGACGAGTAGCTACACTCGCTGGAATATTTCAAACATTATAATTGCAACGGAACGTCAAATACAAGCATATTCACTTGCATTCCAGCAAAATGTTTGAATATTCATCGAGATTGTGAAAAAGGTGGTTATATCTATCTAACAAGCGACACTCGCTGGAATATTCCGTGCATCATAATCGCAACGGAAGGTCAAACTCGAGCATTTTCACTTGTATTTCCAGCAAAAATGTTGAATATTTATCGAGATTGTGAAAAATGTCGTAATATCTGTCACATTTGCTGCACAAATATTTGCGCACGAAACGTTTATGGGCCCAGAAGTCAGGTGATGGTAAATTCAATTTCGTTCAGCCGAAATGACTTGAACAAATGCGACAATTGTAACTCCCTTGTGGCCCTAATCGCCCGACTGTTTATAATATTTGCATTAACGCTCATCTCGATTACGTTTGTCTCTCCGGTTGCTGTTTTCTGTGCCAGCGATAAACGCGACTCAACTCGCTGTCCGCCGTGCTAGGCCCAAGCGCAAATATTGACACAAGGAGCAAAGCGATAAGAGCCTAGTCCCGGGCCCGGGCCCGGGTTTGAAATTGGGTTCTTTGGCTATGAAATGTTGTTTTTGGGTCTTATTTGCTTGCCAGCTTGTTGGAAACAAACGCCCAGGGTCTCAGGTAAGCAAGCAGCGAGAGTAATTCGTTCTACATATCTTTGGCGAGATATCGAGCGGAATTTTATGAAATGCTGTTTTATGATTAGGCATTTTTTGCTGCCTAATGCCAACTGGACTGGATTGCCATGTTTATTATAATGTACATGTTTGTACAGGCATATTACATCAAAGCAATGCCCAGCCGTTTAATTCCCCATACTGCCGCACTACTCGTTGGTTTTATGTGTATAATTTTGATTTTGCCATTATTTCTTCTTTTTTTTCTAGAGCAATTTACGCTTTACAACTTCATTTCACATTGCCCGCTCGTGTCTAATTATAAAATGCGAAAATGCGAAATTGCAAATTGCATTTTGCAGTGGGGCAAACACGAACACACATATTCAGAGAACCACTCACCTATAGTCAAGCAGCTACAGAGCACCACATAGAGTGTGGCGAGTTGAGCCACTCGCTGCCTTTGCAGTTGGCCCATTTTCCTCTTCTGGTTGTTTGTTTTGGCTCTGCTGTTGTTGGTGTTTTTGTTGTTGTTGACTTTTCTTGTCGTTCACTTTTCGCACAAGAATTCAATTGTATATTCTTTTTTTCCGTTTTGTTTAAATCAGTTTTCGTTTTTATTCTTATTGTTTACGGCACACAGAAAAAAAAATTTATAAAAAATTCGCAGTTGCTTTAACGTGATTTTAATTTTATAATTTGCGCACTATTTAGAAAAACACACACTCGACGCCAATTAGCGAGAGCTAACGCGAACGAGTAGTTAGAACACTTGACTTTAAGACTGTATCTCAATTGCGGTCGTCCTTGAGTTTATCGTGCGGTGTTTGGCATCTGAAAAGAAACAGAAACGTGTAGCATATGGTTAGTATTTGGGTAAATTAGCCTTAGCTTTAACGAGTAGCGAGTAACGAGTAGTAAGTGACGAATAACAGCCTAGCAAATAGGATTGAAATAGGACTTAAGCAATTGACATTGCAGTTGACCGTTTTCGGCTCCAAAACAAAGCCAGAGTTAAGCTAAACAACGTTGACTTAAACGAATAACTTCGAACGTGTGACGAGTAGCAAACTACCGAATGAACAGGCTAACCGACTGTCAAAGTATCAAATCAAACTCAGAGGAAACTCAGCGAATTGACTGCTGATTGGATTAAATTGCAATTTTAGCCACAGCTAAGTTAAAAACTGAAACGAGTGTCTGTGAACGAGTAACGAGTAGAATATAAGAGAATGAGCTTGCCAACTCTCAAAGTAACAAATCGAAGTAACTTAGCTAACTGACTTTGCTGCTAAAGTTAAACTGTAAACTCAACGGGTAACGAGTGGCAAACTAACAAATGAGCTTGCCAACTTTTAGAGTGGCAAATAGAATTCACTCAGCTGTCTTTGCTGCTAAAATAAAATTCCCAACTCAGCCACAATTGAATTAACAAACTGCAACGAGTAACTTTCAACGAGTAACGAGTAACAAACTAACGAATGACCTTACCAACTTTCAAAGTGCCTAGCAGAACACAGGAAATTGACTTTGAGCTGAAACTTTAGTCGCTTGCAGCGAGTGAGCAGAACTAACGAATGGCAAAAGGCAAAGTTTGCAGCAAGTGACAAAACTGAATGTCTGACAATTGGATTTAGCGCTGAGCCGCAACTCGTTAAAATGCCAAATGTTGGCCTTTACTTTTGGCCAGCAACTGACTCAACAATAAAGAACGTTGAAAACGCATCGCAGCCGCCGCCGCCGTCGCTGCCGTCGCTGCTGCGTCACACACGGGCGATTTTGTAGCGACAGCGTCAACTGGAACCGGCGACGGCGGCAGCGAAAAAACTTGTCTGTGACTGAGTCGCAAGTGCGAGGCGATTATGAGTGAGCGTATGTGTGTGTGTGAGAGTGTATCTTTTGCGCTTTGGCTTTGTCTTTTCCTCTTCGCCTCCGCATTCTAAAGTTGGCAGCAGAGCAGCAAAACCTGCTGCCGCAGCGACTGCGACTGCGAGTGCGATGCACACATGTGCGTTGCACAGCCTGCCCGCTGCTTGGCCAGGTTTTTGTAACGGAAATTACTGCGTTGTCTGCAGTTGGAACACGTCGCGGCACAAAGGAGGGGGCAGCGTGCTCACACGCATACTTAAAGAGCAAGGAGAAAAATTATAACATGCAAGAATTTATTTAATATTTGCTGCTTGATTTTTCCAATAAACTTCGTTGATGCTTATCGTGCAGGTAGCTGCTCATTCTGCGTGCGTGCGTGTGTGTGGGTGGGCGCGCTCTCCGTAAAAACACTGAACATCAGTGAACGTGATTTGGAGAGCGACTAAAGAGAGCGCGCAAAGCTTTGTGAGAGCGCGTTAAAAGCGCGCGTTCAATTTTGTTTGCCTTTGTTGTTGCAATTTTGATGTTTTGACATTTCGTAACGGCCGCACGATAAGCAGCTAAACTGACTCACGCTCTCACTAATACACACACTCACACACACACACACACACATATGTTCTTTAAGCAACGCTAAATTGCATGCCTATGCAAATGTCCTTGAACTGCAACAGGTTCGATTGGCCAATAGCGCCCGTCTCCATGCACTGGCAGCCTGGCAACGCCGCCGATAACCAATAGAATTAAAGGCGAACAGCCCCCTGCACTTAATCGATAGAACTCCGCTGGCCTTGAAATTTGTTTTCTCTAGAGCGCAGCCCCTAGTTTACGCCAGGAGAATAAGAGCTCTAGAGCCAAAAACGATTCGCAGCAATATTTTCAAAATACTTTGCAACACTATTTTCCAGACCGTTTGGAATTTTGAATGTTTCATTTTTTCGGCTTCTTTCGAAAAAAAAAAAAAAAACTTGTAGCTTTTCTGTTAACATGCATACTTTTCTGTCGCTCACTGTATGTGTTAATAACGCAACAACAAACAGAAGAAAAAAAACTAGGTAAAAAATAACAACAACTGGGCGTCATTCCCCAAGCGGTACAAAAAAAACCTGTTTTTCCAAAGCATTAAAATTTTCTTTGCGTTACGTTTACTCAATTATTTATTACAATATGTTGTATTCGCTTTGACAAAGAATGCACTCGAGAGTTGTTTGTTTGTTGTTTTTTTTTTGCCAATAACATTTTGGCCACACAAATAATAATTTAATAATGCAGCACGTGACTCACGGCCTTAAGAAAAAAAAAAACGAGACAAATTTAGTTGACCAAAAGTCGAAGAAATAAACATTTTTAATAAACTCAACGTCACAGCAATATTTTTCATATATGTATGTATTTGTATCTGTTTATATTTTTGCGCTTGTGTCACACGCATTTTTTTCTAGCTATTTGTTTATTTTTAAATATTTCCGACCAAAAATGCGTGCACTACAAAAATAAAAATAAGGCGAAAAAAACAAAAAAAAAATAAAATAAAAAACAGACAGAGGGGAAACAAAAAGCAAGTATTACCAATATTTTATTGTCTAACTGGCACACACACACACATAGACACACACATGCAGTGAAAGAGACGAGGCGAGACACGTTACGTACATGCGATAAACGTTAAGAACTCGCGGTCCGTGTTACCACAGTTAACTAAATTACGAGCTTGGACAATGCCAACACACACGACGGCAAACGGTAACAACGGCAGGCGACAAAGAGCAGACGACGTCCACTCGCCACGACAAACGAAATGAGAATGAATTGAAAGTTCGGTGCGCTCTCTCTCTCTGTCTGGCATAGCAGAACGCTGGTTAGGCGGGTTGGCGCGACGCGTTAGCAACATGGCTGCAGCAACATGCTTAGCCACATGAACATGCAACGGTTGGGTTTAACGGCTGCGACAACGCGACGCCGCTGCCGCCGCCGTTGCTGCTGCGGGCGCTGCTGCTGTCGCGACGCAACACAGAAAAACGTTGCTGCCAGTCGCCAGCCGTAAATGTTGCGAGAGAGCGTGAACTCGGCAACATTAACATCAGCAACAAATTATATTATAGGCAGTTGAACAATTTTCAATGCACAGTGGACAGAAATTGATTTGAAAAAAAAAAAACATTTAGCTTAATTAGGAAAAATGATATTCTTCTTGTCTATATATGCATGTGCCTTTATTAAAATTAGCGCTATTTAAATTACATTTTTCGAGAGTCAAAATGTGTTAAGAGTTATCTAAATATATGTATACAAATTTTGAATGCAACGAATATTAATTAAATAAGTGTATGGTATGTATGTATGTATGTATGTATACATACACATGTATGTACTTCCAATCATTTTCCGTATTTAAAATTTCCTAAGAAAAATAATAAAAGCAATTGCTGAGAAATACCCCACATCATAAATTTCCAGCTAGCTGCTTTTTTTAAATTTATATAAATTTATTTTATTATAATTAGTATTTTTACTAATCTACATGTAAACTTATGCTTCATGAAACTAAGATTATGTGTATACATATATATTTTTGATATTTCGCTGGAGCGGCAACATTTTCTTGTGGCCACTTGTTGCCCATTTTCGAATGTAGCGCAACATTTCGCATATTGCAGGCAACATGCTGCGCTATACCCAAGAACTGTTCTGTCAACGTCAGCAACAAAAGTGCAGATCGCTTGCACCGTGGTTCGTGACTCAAATAAACGAAAGCGAAAAGTCAATAGCGAGTTGTGTGCATACAATGCATAATATTTAAAATAGACAAATAAGTGTGTTTCTATTTATATTTATTTACAATAATAACAACTATTAGTTGACTTGATTATAAAGCGTATATTAAAAAATAGGGCGATATTATTAAGCATGATAACAAATTAATGAATATAATATATGAAACAAACTGTTTTAGGGATAAGGGATATGTAGGCGTGCCATTCAATTCAATTTGATTAATATTTATTATATGTTTTTTATTTAGTTTAATTATATTTAAATAATATTTTAGTCCTTGGTTATTTTTTGTTCTTTCATTTTACGGTTCTGAATATTTTGCAAGACTTTTTAACATGGAATAATTTGTAAGAATTGTGCTGATAACAAATGTGTTTTTGTTTTTAGCACTGATAAAATAATATTATATATGCTCTGGGTGCATTTAGTTAGGGGCCACTGTATGCAAATAAGCCTCAAGGGCTAACAAAGGGAATTACGAAATTTAGCTATAACTAGGAAAATGGAAAGAAAATAAAATCACGCCAAATCAACGGAGAGATACGAATGGGATTGGTACGCTGTTCGGCGTGACTTTGGGACGGATGGGATTGATACGCTGTTCGCGCGGCTTTGGCAATTTGCTAAATGCAACTGCGTATCTGACAGATGCGAATGCGATTCGCAGATACGAATTACAGCGTTTGGCTGCAGTTATCTAGCTGCTGGCCCTTCGCACTGTTGTTGTTGTTGTTGTTATTGTTGCTGCTGTTTTGGCATGCCCTGGCAATTTATCAGCATAGAGCGGCGTACAACACCCCCTCTCACCCAGTCAATTGCCAACCCCCGCCCCGTCGTTTGCCAATAAGTGATTTATTGCATTGTTATTTTGTCGTTGATGTCGCACTTGCTGCAAATGCGTTTTATTTATTGCCCCAAACGATTTGAAGTGTGTTAATTTTATTTCCATTTTTCACCACCGTCCGTCCCCCCCAACCCCCTCTAGAGACTTCCGGAGCAAGCCATTAAATAATTTTGCACAGTCGCTGTGTGGGAAATATGACCCGACCTTTAGCTTAAGTTCAGAATATTTCAATTTTCATATTTTGGCTAATCGCATTTGACTTGAGGCGTCTTCTGTCCGCCCTTAGAGCCTAGGGCTTCCATAGTCATAGCCAGTCTCTCTGTCAGTCAGTCAGTCACTTAGTCAACCTGTTAATCAATCAGTCTGCCTTTCAGCCAGTTAGTCCGTCAATCTGTAAGTTAGTCAGTTAGTCCTCCAATCGCACAGTCAGTCAGACATTCCATCCGGTCAGTCAGTGAATCAGTAAATGTGTCAATCTGTTAGTCAGTCAATCAATCAGCTCGCCAGCCAGTCACGCTGATTATCAGTCAGTCCATAATTAGGTTAATCAGTCAGGCCTTCAATCTATCAATCAGTCACTCAACCAATGAGTTAATTAGTCTGCTAGTCAATCAGTTAGTAAATAAGTTTAGTCAGTCCGTCAATCGATCAGTCAATCAGTGAACCGATCGGTGGGCCTATCTGTTTGTTCATCCGTGCAGTAAGCTAATCAGTCAGTCAGTAAATCAGTACATCAGTCAGTCAGTAAATTAATCAGTTAGTCAGACAGTCAATCGGTCAATCAGCACAAACTTTGTTTTAATAGACTTCAAACATTTATTCAGCATAATAGAACACGGTAAAGGGTGTGTGTATTTTGCCCAGGACATGCGACTACTATCGCCAGCAACTCAAGTGTGTGTGTGTTGGTGTGTGTGTGCCAAGCAGGATGCCTGCGGCTGAGCAACAGAAATAACTCAGGTATTTGATGCGCTTGCGAGTCCTTAGAGGTAACATTTGACTAATTTATTGATCCATTTATGGATTTTTGGGACTTAGATTTTCTAAAACATTGACATTTTATTTATAGCATTTATGTTTTAGATAAAAATAATGCGTGAAATTCACATCTAAAGCTAAACGGGCACGGTGTATCTTCGCACGGAGATATGAAGAGCTAAAGCGACATAATTCTGAGCGTTTGTTCTGCGAGCAAATCTCTGAGGGGTTTTAAGAGCTGACATGCAGCTAAAGTATCTTGTATTTAATAGCGAATGAGCATTTGGTGTTGGTTGAAAAGGGTACAGGGTATTCGCTAGTCGTGCACTTCCAAATAGAGCACTCTTTTGCGCTGTTTTCTATCGGTGTAATAAACTTAATGCCTAGAAAATGTTTTGGCTTAGCAGCTGGGTGGTCTAAGACAAAGACGTTGGCCACGAATTTCGTGTTACAATTTGGTGAGGAGCTCAGTTTACAGCGTCGCGACGCGGACACCTGCAGCAGGGCAAAGTTGATTGGGAACTTAATTATCGAGCGAGTAGCCGCGCTGCAGACAAATTTCTCTCAAATTACCAAAGGTCCAATTCCAATGCTGATAAAATGGTTAATAACTCAATAAGCAATTAGAGGCAGAATGTTCTTAACCCTCAGCTCGATGCTGTTTACCTGTCTGGGCCACAAAGCCATTGACTGACAGGTTTTGTCTGCAAGAGCTCTTAACTCTCCGCCGCCAATGCACCAGTTCAATCCATATCTATATCTAGGTGTGCTCTGTACTCTGTGGGTGCATCATCCTCGGCTGACTAATGATGCCCGCAGCCAGCAGGCCAGCAGCTAGCAGTTAAGAAGAAGCAGCATATCCCCCATTCAAGCACAAAATGATGAATTATTGTTTTCAAATTTTCAGAATACACAAAAGAACAAACGATTTCTCGCGTTGATTTCACTGCAAAACCTGAAAGTATAAAAAAAAAAAGAAATAATAATAAATTGATATTTAAGTATGCGCTTTATAAGTTGACTTCTTTGTATGGGAAACAGGTCCTTGACAGCCGCCCGATCTGAGTCATGGGAAATGATTCCACCGCCAAACCGGCCGGCTTGAAATGGACATATAATATATTTTATATTTAAAGTCAAATAGTATATGGATTAACATATGCTAAACATGCTCAGCCAGTCAGCTAGTCAGTCAGTCTATCAATCAGTCAGTTAGCCACTCAATCGTCAGTCAGTCAGGCAATCAATCAATCAATCAGTCAGTCAGTCAGTTAATCAATTAGCCTGAATATATATTCTTAATATATATTCCTGATCTGTATCAAAAGGCAATGTAGCTCTGTCATCTTACTTAGCATTGGTATAGATCGGCCAACTATATCTTATAGCGAACATTTACGATCGTTCAAAGGTTAAGTTTTTGTTTTTTACGGCTTTGGATGATTTATCATGATCTTTATATATGATGTAAATCGGACTACTATATCAGATAGCTCAATGGAAAGCAAGGCAAAAGATGAGTTAGTGTATATTCCATAAGAAATCGAACTATTAACAGAAATAAAGGTTACGGAATAATAATAAAATAAAGGATAATTCCAAAATAATATATATTTCACGCCATGTATGTGCACAAGGGTATTTAATCGACTGCGTTCTTTCTTAAAATTGATTAATGGATTGCTTTCAATAGTTCACTCTGTCAACCGACAGTGAACTTTATTTGGGCTCACAGTTTCAGGGGCACAGTTGAAATTGTTGTAATTAAATTTTAGAGGCAGGAAACGAAGCGTTTGAGTGTGACCCATGGACTTCATCCCCTGATAATGGACCATCGCGAACGCCCACAACAGATCGAGAATTGCGAATCGCAATCATTTTTGGCAATTTCATTTAAAATGTGTCTGAGAATGTGGATGACTGCTCAGTTGGTCAGTGTTTGGACTGGCAACATTATGCGGCATTATGCGGCAAATATTTGGAAAACAATGCACGGGGACAAAGGGCCAGACTCTGGCTGGGATCGAGGGGTCAGGCACGCGTGCGCATTGCATTGGACCACCCGCCGAGCCGCAGAAATGCCAAAAATAAGGAACTCGAATGGTAACAGGCACGCGCCGGCTAAAAGGTCAACGGTCAAGCAGCGGGCAGCGGGTAGCGGGCAGCGGGCGGCGGGCAACGGGTCGCACCAGTTCCGTGTCCAGTTGGCAATT